AATTGATTAACATAGCGTTGTCAAGGAAAAACCATGAATTTTTACGAAAAATGCCTAAAAATGACTATGTACCCCCCCCCTAGCGGCCACATCTTTTGACATAAAGAGCTCAAATTTGACACACTTACGTATTTTTACGTGAAAATTACAGGAAAATTATAGCGAACTTGATTCGGATCAATTTACATAGCGTTGTCAAGGAAAAATCAAAAATTTCGAAAAAAATAATTTATTCTCCCTAGCGCACACAATATTCAACCCAGACAGATCATATTTAGTATACAAATGTATTTTTACGGGAAAAATACAGGGGAAAAAAAGCGGTCACGATTAGAGTTGATGATTAACTTTTTATCAAGTTTTTCAAGAAAAAATGACAATTTTAGGAAAAAAATGTATTTTTCCACCAAAAACGAACAAAATTTTATTTAAAGGAAATTAAATTTATATATTTTAACGTATTTTTACGTGTAGATTACAAAAAAAATATAGCGAGCATGATTGGAGTTGATTATCATAGCGTTGTCAAGGAAAAACCATGAATTTTTACGAAAAATACCTAAAAATGAGTATGTACCCCCCCCTAGCGGCCATATCTTTTGACATAAAGAGCTCAAATTTGACACACTTACGTATTTTTACGTGAAAATTACAGGAAAATTATAGCGAACTTGATTCGGATTAATTTACATAGCGTTGTCAAGGAAAAATCAAAAATTTCGAAAAAAATGATTTATTCTCCCTAGCGCACACAATATTCAATCCAGACTGTTCATACTTGCTGTAAAACTCAATTTTTGCGTGAAAAATACAGGGAAAAAATGTAAGCGCGATTGGAGTTGATGATCAATTTTTATCAAATTTTTGAAGAAAAATGATAAATTTCAGAAAAAAATGTATTTTTCCGCAAAAAACGAAAAAAGTTTTTCTACAGTGATTCAAATTTATATATTTTGACGTATTTTTACGTGTAGATTACAAAAAAAATATAGCGAGGATGATTGGAGTTGATTTTTCTGGAATTAATAAACAAATTTCATTTTTTAGATAACTTTCGATTTTTCCTTGACAAGCAGCTACTAGCCTTATATCAATATCTTAAGTTTTATCTCTTTTTGACTTAGAAAGATAAAATTTAATATTCAATATATTTTTAAAATGTAAATACAATAAAAATATTGCGAGTTGAAATAAAATTATGTTTCTTATATTTTTTTAGTAAAATATTTTTTAAAAAATAAAATCGGACAAGTGCGAGTTACACTCGCACTGAAATCGAGGGTTCCGTACTCGAAGCGAACTTATTTGGTATAAAAACAAATGTTTAAAAAATATGTGTTGTATGACAACTAATATAAGTGATACGAAGAGGAACAATTTTCTTGAATTTTACAAAATTGTTCCTTTTTGTATCACTTATAATAGTTGTCATACAACACATATTTTTTAAACATTTGTTTTTATACCAAATAAGTTCGCTTCGAGTACGGAACCCTCGATTTCAGTGCGAGTGTAACTCGCACTTGTCCGATTTTTTTTAGTATAATCTGAATTTTTGATTTTTTAACTTTCATTAATTCTTTAAATTCCACTCAAATCTATACTTTATATATATCAATCGATTCATCTTGACGTAAGGAAGACGATTATATTATATATCACCTTAAATTTTTCGATTTAAAAATTTTTTCAATTAAAAAATAATTTTTGGAAAAAAGACGATAAAATTTTTTTTTGGTATTTTTAAAAATCCTCTCGTCTTTTTTGAAAGATTAATGTGTTAAATAAGCCTAAAAAATTTTATTCAAATCCATTAAAACCTGTTAAAGATATCGTTTTCACAAAAACGATCCACACACACACACACATACATTCGGACAATTGATCAGGATCTCATATAACATGTTTCTATATAGAAAAAAAATTGTTTCAGACACTTTGAAAATTTTTATAAACGAAAGGACTACAAAGCTTCCTCCACGAGGAAGCAAAATATTGGAGGTTTGGGCTAATCGGAAATACACCCCTTTTGAGAAGACATATTGGATTTGGGTTTTTAAATTTTGACCTTAAATTCGGGTACAGCGTTCAAAATACCTTAACGGCATGTTGCAGAAACCCACGTGACCTAGCATGGGAAAATGTGTTTTGCAATATTCCAACTTTCTCTAAAATGAAAAAAGATTTAAGGCTAAAATTTTGAGGGTTGTGCGCGGTGCATTGTACCCAGTAAAAAATAAAAGATACAAGAACCGCGGAATCCGGTTACAAGCTCAATAGCTGGTAAACGAATCCGTGAGAATCTCAGATACTAGCACTTTTCGGTATCCGAAATTGTCATAAGCTTGTAAACGCACTAAAAGGGACGATTTTTGTAGGGCTTTTAATCAAGAAAAAGCAATTAAATGTATGCAGAAATAGTGGGAAATTAAATTAGAAGCAAAACTAAATGATTATTTATTAAAGAAACAAACAATTAAACAAAACAAGGAGGGGGTCCTTTATGTTTATTTCATAAACATTATGCTTCCTCATTGTGTGAAGCAAAAAATTTGCTTCCTCGTGAAGGAAGCAATGAATTTGTCCAATTCAATTGATTGATTTAAAAAATTTCGAGTTAAAAATGTTTTAAATTAATTAAATTTTTTTAAAAAAAAAGAAAATTTTAATTCATTTTGAGTGTAACATAAACTTTATATATACGAATCGATTCGTTTTAATGCAAGGAATACAATTATTTTATTCATCAACTTGTATTTAAAAAAAACACAAAATTTTTTAGCTAAAATATGAATTTTCAATTTCTCAATTTTTATTAATTCTCAAATTTTAAATCAAATCTATACTTTATATATACCAACCAATTCGTTTCAATGCAGGGAATAAAATTATTTCATATAGAAACATGAATTTAAATAAACACATCATTTTTTAGCTAAAATGAGAATTTTTGATTTTTTAACTTTCTTTAATTCTTTAAATTTCAATCAAATCTATACTTTATATATATCAATCGATTCATCTTGACATAAAGAAGACGATTATATTATATATTACCTTAAATTTTTCGATTTAAAAATTTTTTCAATTAAAAAAAAATTTTTGGAAAAAAGACGATAAAATTTTTTTTTTGGGGTATTTTTAAAAATCCTCTCGTCATTTTTGAGAGATTAATGTGTTAAATAAGCCTACCAAATTTTATCCAAATCCATTAAAACCTGTTAAAGATATCGTGTTCACAAAAACGATCCACACACACATACACACACACATACATCCGGACAATTGATCAGGATCTCATATAACATGTTTCTATATAGAGGAAAATTTGTTTTCACCATTTTTAAAAAGTTTATAAACGAAAGGACTACATAGCTTCCTCCACGAGGAAGCAAAACAATTATTCTGACTAATTCTAACCTCTGCATTAAAAACATTGTGAAAACAGTGTTTTGTTGGTAATTTGATATCAGTCACAAGGGGTAAAAGGCTCAAAGGAGGGAAAAAACGTAAACAAATTACCAAAATTACGTTTGTGCTGGCACGAAAGAGTTTGTGTTGTATTACAGTAAGAGAGAGTGACGTCACGTGAAGTGCTCTCTCTCTCTCTGTCGCATGGAGTGAAACGAGAGTGTGTAAGATGACGTCACCTGGTGGTTCCGGCATCCATACCATAACCGACTCGCTGAAGCTGAATCCACATGCATGTCTAATAACAAGTCGGTCCGTCTCACGGACCCCCCACTATTGCTTATCGGAGGAGTAAAGTCAGAGGTTCTCATCGCTTGCTTTTTACAGACTGAAGTATCTGTATATTGAAAGCTTATGTAAATGTGTGAATTTTCCGCAAATGTCAAAACACTCAAAATATACATTTCAATGTTTGTATGTACATTTTGCAAAATTTATATACAAGTTGACCCGTAGTGAAAAAGTTTCCAGGAAAGTGTGACAAGGCTATTTCAGTCAAAATTCTTTTAATGTTTTTAATAATTTAATATTATGCCGAGGGTTTCTACAACTAACCTACAAGATCTCCAGGATGATACAAATCATATTTTTGCGAATCAAGATAAGTATTCAAAATGACATGAAATATGAAATCTACGTAAAATAACCATATCGTTTTTTAGGTGTAGTCTTGGAGACGTCTTCGAAGAATTTTTTGAAATACAATTAGGATCGAAGCAGTATCAACAGGAAATTTTTTCAAAGTCGAAATATAACCTGCACTTTGGGTTCACACTCGAAAAATTTAAATTTTCAAAATTTTTTGAAATAGATTTTCCGGAAAATTTTTCATGTATAAATTTTGTTAGTAAGTGGAATTTTAACATAACCATCAACAATTAAAAGGCAACCTGTATTTAATTATGAAGAAAAGCAAGTGATAATTACATTTTCATCAGAATAAAGATGTATTATTTTAGAACTATTTAGTAGGTAAAATCAATTCAAAATTTTTGAAAATTTATATTTTATTTTACTAAATTTCGTAAAACTTTAGGAAATTCTGTGGATTTAGGTTAAACTTAAAAAATCATTTAACATGAATTAAAATTTTGCTGAAATATCTGAAAAAATATTTAATAATCAAAAATAGTAATAAATTTCACCAAATTTTCCCCAACTAAAAAAGTTTGCTAAATTACTTAATCTTATGTATAATTTCTGTGATCTTTATTGAAAAATTTATTCCCAATTCAATAAATTTATAAATAAAAAGGAATTTGAATTTTTTAATTTATAAATATTTGAAAGAATTAATGGAGCTATTTTAAAATCTGAGGACATTTTTAGAGTTTCCAGAACGGGTATAAACCCAGCGAATAAAGTTTAAAAATGTTTTTCATTTTTGAAGACTTTTTTTCAAAACCAGTTCTATACTTTTAACTTCCAATCGGTGGTTTAATAAATAAATAAATAAGAAACATTTTTTCAAAAGAAATTTTATTAAATATAATTAAGTTACAACTTAAACTGAATATAGAACGAATGGGTTAAGGTTCGTCGTTCTGTTCTATAATATCCATTATTTTATCAAACTTCATTCGCAATTTTGTTTGTGGTACTTTTCGAAACGCATCAACGATTATTTTTTCATATCCACTTAAACTATTTATTTTTTGATTCGTAATTATTTGGGTTGCCATGGACTCTATACTTTGGGCGTACTTCAATAATTCATCATTTTCTGTATCGAATCTTATCCCTTCTTCATCTATGACTTCTATTTTATGTAATTATCGATGAATATAATATATAATACTATTTTAAAAAACTTATTTAATGTAAAATATAGTTGATGTTTTTTCAAATTAAAATTTCAATAGTGAAGTATGGTAATGATGTACTGGGACAAAAAAAAAGAAAACAATTTTAAAATTTTAAAAAGATATAATAGAACAATATTCATCAGTCATTTGAATTGTAATAGTTCAAGAAGTTTATTTTATGTTAAATTAAAATTATTTAAATCAGATATTTTGGTTAAATCATTAGGTTCATCTTTTTTTCATATTTTCTTAGTTCCAGTATTCCATTAACTTATTTTATGTTTTTTTTAGAAAATACGTTGTTCTATCAGTATATTATTAATTTTTACCATCACTTTGATTTTCCATTTCTTCATTTCCCATATTATAAAGCTCATCTACGTCATCAAGCACTTCTATTTCTTGTGCATCCTTGTTATTATCACTAACAGAACGTGCGAATGCATTTGACGATGCATATGTGAAATTACTGTGGGTTCTGTTTTATGTTAAGATAAATATTATTGTTTGTAACCTTTAATAATGAATATTCTAATTCAATTCAAACAAATTCTACTATAATTGTTTTGTTAAAAATTTAATGCATTATTTTTGTATGAATTTTCCGTTAACCGGTTCTCGTAGAATCTTTCCACATTGCAGAAAAAACCTAGTCTCATTTTTGTTGCAAATCAAAATGAGCCAATGCTAAACGACATAGACAGTGGCGCCACCAACCTGGTTCATTTTTGTTGCACATCAAAATGAGCCGCCTACACGGCTCATTCTGAGTTCAGTTTTTTTCTGTGTGGTTTTTATTAAAAATTAAGTAATCAGTTTCAGAATACTTTTTAAGTAATATAATAATTTATTGCATTAAAATGATTTTATATATATATATATGTATAAATACTCGTATCTGTAGAATAAAACAAATACATTTTGTAAAGAAAGAGGAAATGTTAGGCACCTTCTATGCCTAACATGACTATCAAGGAACTGCATATCATTATAATACTCCCAACTGATGGCATCTTCCTTTGCACCAGAGCCACTAGGCATGTATTTATTATCAGTTTTGTGATACTGCATATACAATTTTCTCAAATAATTCCATCTAGATTTAATTCTGTCAACTTTAAAGACATTATTTATTTTTATTTATATTTGGCTAAGCTATGAAAAAGTTATGAAAAACCGCTGCCAAGTTGAAGTATGAATTGCTTCCTCATGGAAGAAGTACTTTTTGTGTTCATTCCATAAATTTATGGAAATAATACCTTATGTATTATAAGTACATAAAGTTCGCAAACAGATCAATCGATGCAATTTTATTATTTATTTTTTATTTATTTATTATCAGATGGTTATGTTAATTTTAAAGTTAAAAGATTTTTAAAGATGAAATGATACAAAAATGGCGGTTTTTTCAAAAATTTTCAATTTAAAAATGACAATAACTCCAGACAGAACTACTGTAGAATGTTTTTTAATAGATCAAAAAAGTCGTCTTGAAAAATTTTAGTATAATAATGCTTCCCATGAGAAAGCAATACAAATGAAATACTTTGATGAAATGCATACATTGTAAACATACATGTATACAGAATACACACGTTTATTTAAAAATACACACTATACCCAAGTAGCACGTAATATTACAATAATATTATCAGGTAATTATTAATCAACCTTTTACGTTCAAGCAATTTTTTTTATATAATTTTATATAACAGTAATATTACAGTAACATTACCTGATAATATTACTGTAATAGTATCTGCTACTTGGGTAATAATTCTTTTGCATTTGGTTAACTGTTATTAACAAATTATTAAAAATAAAATTAAAAAATTTACCACTTTCACTTTCGTGAAAACATTCTGCATATTTATTTGCGATTTCTTTCCAAGCACGATGTTTCTTCAAATTATCTTTATAATCATTTCTGTGCTTATCGTATAAGCAAGGGTGTTTTTCAACGTTGTGAATAATAAACAGATTTTTGTCCATCTTCCTATTTTTATTATTATAAATTATTATTTTTTACAATGAGATGGATGACACAATTGCGAGCACAACTGTCAACATAAAAAAAATACATAGTGCTCATTTGTTAAAGATTGATGAGATTAACTCGCACTTAAAATTAGTCATTTCTAGAAAGTTTAGTTCCTTTTTAAAATGATTTAACAAAATAAGTATCATGTCCTTGTTTACAATTTACAAAAGCGTGCAAAAGAATAAAATTTATAAAAAATTTAATTTTTAAGTTGCTAAATGTAATAATATTTATTTATTGTGTTAAGAAAATATTTTCAGAAATGTTATGTTTAAAGAAATAAAGTATCTTTAAAACAAATGTAATTTTCTAGAAAAAACTTTAGTTTTTATTTAAATTTGGAGTGTTATTTAAAATATTTAAAATTTTTTCAAATCATTAACTATACATATTTAAAACAAATTTAATTTTTAAGTTAAATTTATTTTTTTGAAAATTCTGTTGAAGATAAATCAAGTTTTTTTAAAAAAAAAGTCATATATCTTATTTCATGACAATTTGCAAAACAAGACAACAAATTTGTTATTTTAAAATTTAAAAAGAGTATAAAATATTTCTTTTCTTCCAAATAAATTAAATTTTTAATTAGTTCAAAGTAATAATATATAATAATAATTATAACTGCAATAAAGTATAGATTGTCGACTTTATACTAACCATGCATAAATATTACAAAACTTAAATTGCAACTCTCATGTAAGAAATAGTTTTATGTAAAATATTTATTTATTTTTAAATCTTTTAGAGAAAAATTAAATTTGTAAATATAAATATTTTTTATTGAATATGATCAAATTGTAAAATATTAAATAACCACATGTTTTTCAAGTTTTTTTTAAATATAAATATACAAAGACAATAAAATTAGTACAACTTCAGGTGGTTTATTGTATTACAAAACTTCGTACGATATTGGCGATTCAAACAGCTACACTAGCGCCACAGTTGAACTAATTTAGGCGTGACTCGCTCTGTAGCACTCCATGTGTTTTAAATTATTTTTTTTTATTTAACGCTTAAAAATAATTTTACAAACGCAATAAAAATATCAGAATAATTAAATAATTTGAAATAAACTGTCAAAACAGAGACTGCTTTAGAGCGAGTCACGCCTAAATTAGTTCAACTGTGGCGCTAGTGTAGCTGTTTGAATCGCCAATATTTCTTCGTATTTTCCTTTAAAGTTGTTAAAAATACTATTACTGTTTATTGTTAAAATTTTTTATTAATTTTTTGACATCTTTATTTGCAAACAGGCTTTTTAATTTTACAAAAATGGGAAAATGTAATGATGAAAAAAGTGATAAAGATCTGTCACTAATAGATGCTGTGAAACGTCATAAATGTTTGTATAATAAAGATAAAATAGATAACACCACAAGAAATTTTTTATTGAAAAGTGTTAAAGAGATAATGAAAAAAAAAATTATAATGAGATAAAAAGTAAGATTTTAAAATACAAATTAATTTTTAAGTACGATAAAATTATTGAAAAATAATAAAAAACACTTTCTTAATTGTAAGTGTTTTACACTGTTAGCTAAAACTAGTCTAGTAGATCTGTTTTGCAAAGCTGGGGGTCGATTACGTAACTTTCCCACTTCCCACATTCCACATCCCACTTCCCATCTTTCACATCCCACTTCCCATATTTCACACCCCACTTCCCACATCCCATATTTCACACCCCACTTCCCACATCCCATATTTCACATCTCACTTCCCACATTTCATATCCTACTTCCCATATTTCACATCCCACTTCTCATATTTCATATCCCACTTCCCACATCCCACTTCCCATCTTTTACATACCACATCCCACTTCCCATATTTCACATTCCACATCTCACTTCCCACATTTCACATCCCACTTCTCACATTTTACTTTTCACACTTCACATTGTACATTACACTTTTCTTATCACGCTTCCCACCTTTTATATCCCACTTCTCACATCTCTCCCATTTCCCACAATTCAATTCCCAATTTTCACATATCACTTTCTATTTCCACATCTCACGTTCCACTTCCCGCATCTTATATCCCATTTCTCAATGTTCACTCATTACCGTACATCTCACTTTCAAATTTTTACTCTTTATTCCGTTTATTAGTCTTTCGATTAAACTTTTGTAGCATAAATAATCAGCATAAATTAATGTATTAAATTAAATTAAAAATTTTAGTAAATAGTAACAGAAAGTCGGAAGAATATGACATTATTTTAGTGTTATGTTTAACTCATCGCAAAATTTTTAGTTTCTTTCAGAAACTAGTTAAATCTACACAATAACAATTTTTATAAAATGGAAGTGAAAAAAACAAAGCAAAAAGTGGGATGCATGACGTGAAGAGTGAAAAGCGGAAAGTAACATGTGGGAAGTGATATATGAGAAGTGGAATGTAGAAAGTAAGATGTGAGAAGTGAAATGTAGGAAATGATATGTAGGAAGTGAGATGTGGTATGTGAAAGATGGGTAATGATATGTGAGAAGTGGGATGTGCAATGTGAGATGTGGTATGTGAAAGATGCGTAGTGAGATGTCAGAAGTGGGATGTAAAATGTGGGAAGTGAGATGTGGGATGTGAAATGTGGGAAGTGAGATGTAGGAAGTGCGATGTGAGATGTTGGATGTGGGAAGTGGTATGTAAAATGTGGGATGTAAAATGTGAGATGTGGGATGTGGGAAGTGAGATGTTGGAAGTGGGATGTAAAATGTGGGAAGTGGGAAGTGGGATGTAAAAAGGAAAGTGAGATGTGGGATGTTGTGGGAAGTGGGATGTAAAATAAAGGAAGTGAGATGTGGGAAGTGAGATGTGGGAAATGGGATGTAAAATGTGGGAAGTGAGAAGTGGGATGTAAAATGTGGGAAGTGAGATGTGGGATGTGGGAAGTGGGAAAGTTACGTAATCGACCCCCTGGGTGATGTTTTAGAAAAAATGTTGTTACTCATGGTCTGAACTGATTCGGGTTTGATCAAAATAAAAAAGCATTAGTTCATGGTTTATATTTTACGCAAAAAATGGACGATATTATATTATACGCTTGAAATGTTTTATTTCTTTTAGAGAACGAATTTCTCAAGCGATGGACATATTTAAGAGATACCTATGTAAGATGTCATGGAAAACAGCTTAAAGAACCAGGAAAAAAGATATCTTTTAAATATTTCAGCGATTTAATTTTCCTTTCGGATTATACTGCCCACATTGATGCAAATCAGAATGTGGTATCACTTTCGTCAGAAGAAAATTCTATTGATTTTAATAATGTGGAGGGATCGAATGAGGGTACAATTGTTTGTCAATTATATTAAACTCCATAAATGAACTAAAAACATTAACTGAAACAGGTATTGTGACTAATCACCAATTACCGGAAATTGTGAAAAATCAGATAAACGAGAGTAACGTTTCAAAAGATTTAGAAAATCTTGAAATTGTCTTTGTTGGTGATGATTTTTTCAAAAATTTGAATAATTCGAAGAAAAGTGATCAAGGTAATATTAATAAAAATTCTTATAGACAGAGAAGTGAAATCTTCATGTTGATATACATATATACATGTATATATTTTATCAAAGTTATTTTTATGTGACTTCTAATCGTCGCTGCTGTAATGACATACAATAATACTGTTCGCTTATTAATCCAAGTTGTTGAAAATGAAGCTGAAGAAAATGCATTTCATCACCATTCAGTTGAAGATGGCATCTTGAATTTAAATAATTCGAAAAAGGTTGATCAAGGTATACTGTTTGTACTGTTTAAACATTACAAAAATTGTTAAACATAGGCAAAGAAAAGAAGTGTCCGTAAAGCCACTTGTTAGTATATGATTCTTCAAAATAACTTTTGTGCAATATTTAGACCTCAATACTGCGATGACATGCAATACTGTGCGCTCGTTATCCCAAGTTATTGGAAATGAAGATGAAGAGAATACATTTCCTAATCACTTAGTTGAACAATGCTTAGTTCAAGATGACATTTTTAAAACTTTAAATGGTTTGAAAAAGATTGATGAAGGTAATAATTACAAAATTTATAATAAGAAAAGAAGAGAAGAGTCCGTGTGGGAATACATTTCTTAAAAATAAATTTTCATGTAACTTTTAGATGTTGCTACAGTAATGACATGCAATACGGTTCACTCATCATCTGAAGTTGTTGTTAATGAAGCTGAAAGGAATACATTTCATCAACATTCACTTGAAGAATGCTTCCTTGAGGAAAATTTGTTTCAATTTGTAAAAAAACTTTGAGAAGCAAAATGAAGGTAATAATTATAAAATATTTTACAAATAAATCCAGCTGGAGAAACAGAAAGTTACCAAAATTCAGAACTAGCAGGTTTTAACGCTACTTGTATTTCGGAATTACAAGCAGTTCAGCCAGACTCTACCGATCTTAACATAATGTTTAAGTGAAACTGGGACTTTACCACCTTTGAAATACATTGTTCTATTCCATAGCACTAAATACAGATATAATATTGAAACTTCAATGATTTAACTTCTTTACTTTAATTAGCACATATTCTTAATAAATAATAAGAAATTATTTGCATGTAATTTTAACAAGAAATTAAATTTTCAGCAAGATATTCTAATACCTTTGGATTTAAATTTTTTAAACTTTTTATATCAGGTTTTTTGAATAATTTTATTAAATTAGATTAAATGGTAATAAATAAATTTACAGTTGGTATATAATTTGTATCATTGTTTTTATTCATACCACTTCTATATTCTATCTAAACATTTAATATTATCGGATTTTGGATAGTTCCCAGCTGATTTGACTAAGGGCCAGTTTAACCAACTACGGTTAAAAGTTAAACAGCTATTAAATCCCTAACTAATCAATCATGATCATAAGTGGTCAAATTGACTATAATCGTTGATTAACTTTTAACCAGAGTTGGTGAAACTGACCCTAAGACAGTAGAATCAACAGTTTCTAAATGGTTGGCTACCATCTTCTGACCAAGACATTAATTGAAATAATGACTGTTTTTAGCGATATTGATGGCTATAAGTATTGGCTGAGATATTCACCGGTTCTGAATTTTTCTTTTACAATCTTAAATTATAAGCTTATTGTCATGGTTTATAAGCATTATTATATGATTTGTGATACTTTGCAGTTTTTACAATCCAGAGAAATGATTCAAAGCCACACGTAGATAAAGTTCCATGTACGTCAGAGACAGCAGACAAAAATATGCATAACCTTTTTAGGAAAGAATATTGGAGTGGACAAATGAAAAAATATCCTCAATTAAAAGGTAAATGGAGACTACCCATCATTGAAGAAATGCGCAAACTGAAGAAATTTAAAGTAAAGAAACAGTTTGAGAAACTGCAGACAAGTTTGAATGAAACAATGGATTTCTCAAAAAATAATGAACAAATAACTGAAGTTAAGGAAATTCATAAGCAACCAAATAACACGGTCAACTTCAGGACTATAAATGACGAAACTATAATCGACGAAATTATAAATGACGAAATGACGAACAATAACATCATTGAGTTTAAAAAGAATCAGGAGGACGAGATAAGAAATGTGCAGAGAAATAAAAAACCTCTAATAGTTAGCAATCAAAAATTGGATACAAAGGTTACATTAAAAAGCAATCGCTCAATTCCTTCGAATATTTCCGTCAAGGAAATGAATGTTTATAACAATTCTGACAATTTTACACAGAAGATATTACAGAATTCACAACAAAGACAACAGTTTTCCACTAACAAACGTAAGAAATATCTTTTTTTAAATGAATAAAAAACATCCGGTAATACAGAGTTATTAAAATCCAAAAATTTTCCTCACTTTCCAATAAACTTAAAAAAAATAACACTCAATGAGGTAATAACAATTTTTTAAAACTATATTATTCGTTGGTATCCCAATTTCATTTGGTACCTTATACTAAGCCATTTTTACTGCTTAGTTAATTAAAACTGTCTCCTAGTAGGATGTATGTAAAGTACAATTTTCGAAATTCCCTATGATTAATTTTTCTTCTTCTGACTAACAAATTTTTGAATTAGTTGGAATTGGATTACAGGGATAATTTTTTATTCTAAGTTACAGTTTTTCTCAAACTATTGCGGTGACACTGCTTTTATTATATTATATTATTGTTTATTTACATAAATATATAGAAATCGTTCCGCCATTTGACAATTATACAAAAAAATATTAAAAAAATTTGGACACATCTGAACAATCTTTTCAAGAGGCATTGTCTGTATTCAAACATTTTGCAGAAGTTGCATCAGAATATTATAAGACAAAACATTCTTTTCTGCTAAAGAAAAATGCAATAATATCACAAAATGATATGAATAATAAACAGGTTGTTGAAAATGAAAATATTTACGCAATTGACGGATATGAAGAAAATTTACTTGAAACATTTAGAAAAGCTTCTCCAGATAAGAAGAGAAAAACATTCCACTTGGCAATGAATGCTATGGAAGGAGTAATAGAAAAATAGACACGTAGGGAAAGTCAATTTTGACATTTACAAGTGTAACATTATTTTATTATTAATAGCAATGTACTTTATTGGATAAAACTGTTATGAATAAATTTTTCTTACATTTTTTATAACTATTTTTATTTAATTTTAGCCTTTTTTGAATTTCTTTAAGTTCTTTAAATATATCTTATTTTATTTTTTAATCGTAAAAGATAATAATTGTGTGGATTTCACATCAGGTAGGGAATATCATCAGTTAGTTTAGATATACCGGTTTAGGCCAACCTCTAATTTTTATTAAGTTTACTAGTTTTTTGTTAATTTCATAGTATATTTTTTGATAAAACGTCATTTCCCAATTAATGTTCTAGATAAATTTATTTAACATTTACAATAACTGTACTTTTTCTCCTTGACAATAAGGTGGTCAAAACTAGTCAAAACTAGCAAAATTGACATTTTTTTGTATTTATTAATTTATTTTATTATTTTTTTTTAAATTTAAAAACAAGAAATTCAGAAACTAAGAATAGTAATTGATCTATTAACAACTAGAAGTAAACAATTTTTTATAATTAATTTAAAAAATGTGACCTAGAAAATAAGAATCCTTAAAGTGTCCAAAACTGGTGCACCTACTATATATTATGACGATCTTGATCTTAATGTACTTTTGGCATTCTACTAACTTCGACATACAATATATAAATGCATATACATATTTTCTTTTACTTATTACGAATACAATGTCAGTCTTTTAAAACTTTAAAATAACGGCTCTAATATGGTTGACAAATTTTAAACAACTTTGAAAACTTCCTGAAAATTTTTTTTTATCAATGAACCAATTTTAAATAATATATGCACATATACCAAACTCTACAAAAATAATAATTCAGTAATTAATAAAAACTTCAGTATATCCATATTATTTTTTGCGAATCTCAAAGTATGAAGTTAAAATGTCTCTTATTTTCCATTCATCGGAATGACAATCATTCTCTTCACCGTTATTCTCTTCACTTTCTTGTTGTGTTGTTTCGATTATATTTCGATTTCTTGCAAAGTTGTTTAATAATTTTTCATTTGCATATTTTTTATTCTCTTCTGCGTTATTTAACTCACATGTTATCAGGAAGTTATGTAAACATATTAAACACTTTACAATATTGATGGACGTTTCTAAATTGAATCCTAAGGTCTTGTGTAGTATTTGCCACTTTGCTACAAGAATTCCAAATGAATCCTCAATTGTCATGCGTGTACTTGATAGACTGTAACGAAAATGTTTGACATTAATTGTGATATTAAACAACTTTTAACAATTCTGCCTATTCTTTTAAAAAAAAACATGACCGGAAAGGGTCTCATCTACCTCGACATTCAAATAATGGAACTCTAATTATCAAATTGGTCGCAGAAAAGTAGAACGCGCACTTATTATTTGAAATGGTGTAAATTCAATTTACCTAATAAAGTTTTTTAATAATAATAAATTAACATATTATGTTTCTAGTTATTTTTTATTTAAGGAAATTGATATTAACATTATTTATTCTAAATATTAACATTATTTAGGAATTAAATAATGTATACAAAACTCCAAGAAAATTTTTCAGTTAGACATTTCAAATTTAAATATAAAAAATTCGATTAAAAAATTTGAATAATCTTACTTTAAGTAAATATAAAATAAAAATTATTCAATAAAAGAATGTAACTACAATTAATCACACAACACTAGGCCATAGGGAAGCAATAAAAACCAGCTTACCAATAATTAAATAGTTCTTCTCTAGAACTCTCGACCAATCTTCTCGAGTATGGACGCATCATGTATGGACGCAATTTAAATGCCTCATCTCCAATGAAGTAATATGGAATTGATTGCTTTATTCCAGATAAACATTTTGGTTCAGGAAGAAGAAACCTTTTACCTTCTAATTCTTGTCCTAATCCGGTAGCAGCAAATACACTTGCATCATTTAAGGAGCCTAAAAATTTTATAAATAACCTTTTACTACTTATTATTATAAACAGTATTCTTTGTATAATATATATTTGATTATAAATATCCGAATAAAGTATTACATATATAATAAACGAAAAATTATTACTATTAATTTATATTTATTTATAACGTTAATATCATATATGATATTATTAAAATTATAATTAAATAATTTAATTTTAACTATAATTAAAACTGTAGTTTTAAAAAATCAGTTTCATAATGAAGTGGCTCTAGATGACCATCCTCATTTTAATACTCATTTTCATAATACAGTTTTCTTACTAAAGATAACGTGTCAACTATAATTTATACTGTAAATATTAAAAAGAACCCTTCATCACAGTTTAAATAAAGATTTTCCTATTGTCTGATCAGGAAAACTTACTAAAAATTTATCATTTTGAAAAAAGATTATTAAACAACCTTTTAGTATATTTTTCCTAATAAGTTAATTTTCATTAATCATAAAAGTTCGATTTGTAAGGATTAATTAATAATTTTTTCTCAAAATAACAATCTGAAAAAAGTTCTGCATGAAGCAAAGAAAAATGATGTACATTCAGATTTACTTTTTTAAAATAAATAATTTATTTATTTCAATGCAATAATTTGTCCTCTATTTAAAATATACTTTGCTTTGAAATGATAATTTAAAGAAATTGAAACTGACGAAAAAATTTATTGAAATCAGAGAATTCATTAAAATGTCTTATTTGGAGGTACTACCATTGATTGATTCTACTATTATCGAAATAATGCCGTATTTATATTTTACATAAACTTACCATAATCACCCACATCGACCCAAGTAAAGCGATAATGAGCGTCACATATAGCCATGAGTACAAAGCTGAAGTAATTTTTATAATTATAAAAAGTACTTCCTGAATGCGGAGGCTTTGTAATTCTAATGTGCTTTGCCATCTATTGAACCTAAGCAATTAGGAAAATTCCACTTTTCTTCAAAATCTTTAGCAATTTCTTTCCAATCTTCAATTCCTTTTTTTGGAAGATATATTGGAGAGAGTATCTCCCAAATATCTTTAGTTACATCGCTAATAATGCCATAGACTGTTGACCTTCCCATGTAATAGAGCTTGCTCAAAGTTTCAATACTACCGCCATGGGCCAAAAAACTATTCAAGAATTTTTAATATATTAATAAAATAGTTATATTTTATAAACGTAAAAAATATTATAAAAATAATAATTAATAATTGTAGATATATTATATGAAATATTTATATTTTATACAGGTAAGAAATAATGCAAAAATAATTAATTCTGAGGTAAATGTATAATATTAAAACTTACTGTAAAGTTATTGATAATCTCATTTCTGAAGGCAAGGGTTCTCTAACTGTAAAAGACTTTAGTAGTCGCGATTGCAAAATATTATGCAGAGTATTAAACTGAGAAACACTCATTCTATACACTTTGTAAAACTCTTCATGATCGTGACATTTAAAGTACCAGAAAAGAGTAGAATATGTTCCGTATGTATTTCTAATGTTTGCATGAATGTGCGGTTTCACCCACCACCTTCGGAAACGCTTTTTTTTGTATTTTATATCATTTCGCAATTTTAAAACTCTTAAAAATGAAAAAGACATTTGGAGAAATGGAATAACATCCATTTCCTAAAAAATGTTCCTGATGTCACAAATAACAGTAATTGACAAATTTAATTCAATATATACGCAAAAAAATAATTGTCAAGATAAAATTGATATTTCTGTTAATGATTCCTTTTTTTAATCGTAATCTTTTGATTATAATAAAGGAGAATCAGAAATAACAAAGTACTCTCAGGAAATTTGATACTTATATAAAATGAAATGAAAAAATTAATGAAATTCACTTGCAGAATTCTTCATTTGATAATTAATTTTAAAAGAGGATATTATTGAATAAAACAAATTTTGTAATAAAACTTGTGCAATGTTTTCTAAACCATTAAATGCTCTCTAAAATTTTATTTAAAATTTTTATTTATTAAATTACATTTTTGAACTGTAATTATTGAAAAAAGTAAAATTTATCAACGTTTCATTAAAATATAATGTATTAGTTTTAAAAACCGGATATAGATAATTTAAGTTTTAGAAGTTATGTTTACTTTACATTACTTAAAATTTTAAATACAATTAAAATTAAGTCCATTGTTGCTACAGAAGTCCACTTTTGATACAATACGACTCCTACTGACAATTGCTCCAGTGAATGCTGGAAAAAATATACCCGGTTTTTCCCAATTTCTTTCATCAATTTAAAAACATTTAAATATTTTCTGAATAAAATTTATAGTAATATGCAAGAAAACGGTTTAAAACATAACAAAATTGAAAAATAGGTATATTACACTAAATTTTAATAGATTTTTTTCATTTAGTTAAATACTTTTATATTTTAACATATATAACAATTACTTTTTGAAAATAACCTCCAAATGCAATCCTAAATTAGAATTTATTTAAAAATTTTTTATAAAGTTTATTTTTAAAAAAATAATATAAGATTAATAAAAATTATTTTACTCAAAAATGAAATGTTTATAAACATTTTTAACGGGACTCATTAATCTACTTTCCCTCAAACTTTCCTGCAATCTTGAACAATCTTGCTTCATCTATTATTTATTGATAATAAAAAAATTATAATAGTAAGCTATTAGAATAAAAAAATATATTTTTCAATTTTCAAAAAATATTAGAATGCATCAAAGCATAGAAATATGCTATACATGAAAAATTTTCCGGAAAATCTATTTCAAAAAATTTTGAAAATTTAAATTTTTCGAGTGTGAACCCAAAGTGCAGGTTATATTTCGACTTTGAAAAAATTTCCTGTTGATACTGCTTCGATCCTAATTGTATTTCAAAAAATTCTTCGAAGACGTCTCCAAGACTACACCTAAAAAACGATATGGTTATTTTACGTAGATTTCATATTTCATGTCATTTTGAATACTTATCTTGATTCGCAAAAATATGATTTGTATCATCC